TTAGACTTTATTCTATTATGAGCTTATTCATATTTCAATCTGGATATTCAATTCAGGTTTGTTTTTATTCTTACCCGAATATTATCCAGGTATTATACAGGTATTATAATCTGGGTATTTTATCTGGTATTATCTGGGTATTATCTGGGTATGTTTATTTGGATATTATCTGGGTATATTTATCTGGGTAACTGAGTTCACAACCCGGATATCTGACTATCTGTGGATAACCTAAATAATACCCTACTCGGGTATCATCACTATTTAGAACTACTTTATTCTTATAGTAAACCTATTAGAATAGTCTATATCCTATATATATATTAACTAAGTTTTTAGTAACTTATGTTTAATCTGTGGCTAAGTACTTGCGGCTTTTTATTTCTGCTACTTGTTATCTACTCTGTACTTTTGTAAAGTTCATCCAAACCTCAATACACACTTTATGAACTATCAACAGTACTTTGATGCCAACTAATAGTATTCCAAACTTCTAATCTAAATAGTTTAAGAGAGACCAATAGACATCTTTAGTATTCTGAATGAATCTTTTTTCTTCAGTTTTTCTGTTGGCCTAGTTGGTGTAATGCTTGCCAAACACCCAGTCTTTATTTAGTTTACTGCTAATATCTAGTTTTTTAGATAATAATCTTTTACATAGTATTATTAAAGATCTGTATTACTTCTTTACTCAGAACTTCTCAAGCAGGCTTCTATATTTTCTAATTCCTTGAATTTATTTAGCTGCTTCACTCAGGTTTTGTATAACTTATACATCACACTAACATTCTGCAACCTTCCAGTATAAACTGATACAACCAAAGTCACAGGTGCTTACTTGATCAATATATTATACAGTTTTATCATAACACATTTTGTAAATTTGAATTTTGTTATTAGTAGGATTCAAACTTTTGTTTTGCTGTTTGGTGTGCAATAATTTATTAACTACACTATACTTATTATTAAAATCACAAAAATACCTATTGTTAAAATTTTGTTAAAATTATTATTAGTATTTTTATAATATTAATTAAGCATTTTTTAAAATTTTTTAACTGCATTATAAAGATCAGTTTTATAAATAGTATAATAGAAAATTTTGCTATTAAAAAAATAAAATTTGTTTAGATTCTATATTTTCTTTATAATATAAAATTTTATTGAATTTAAATTTTTAAAGATAGCTTTTTATATCTTGAAGCATATAGAGTTACATCTAGTTGTATTTGATAATTATGCTTTCTCACTATATTTATAATAGCAATAATTTTAAAAAATTTTAGTTTTAATAGATTTATATGCAAAAATACTGTTCTTGATGGATCGTTGGTACCTTTCCTGATAGGTTTAAAAAACCCCCGATTTACATACTTTTCCTGATAGGTAGATGTTATACAAACATCTGATTTTAGAATACTGAAATTGACTTTTGTATAATTGGCTAATACTATAATTAATACCTTGATAAGCCTTTTGAGCTATTTGATGTATATATATAATTAGTATCATTCTTTATTTTATAATTTGGCAGATGCATATTTAGAAGATTAGGATGTTTTTCATTATTTTATTGCTTTTTCGCATTTACTACACTCTTTATTATATGAGACCAAGCCTTAATATTTAAGAAAAGATTTAAGATGGATATGCTTTATTCATCATGTGAACTTGCTAAAGGTTATGAATACTGTGAAGGAACACAAAATGACTCGAACAAAGCATCTTGTTAGTTTAAAAAAACCATAATGCTTAGAAACACGTTATGGCTAAAATAAAGGTCAATCTACTCAAACTGAGTGAATTATATAATTAATATTTTTTTTTATTTCTTATTTTTCCAACAAGACTAGATTGATTTAGAGTTAGTGTTGATCAAGGGTTAGGTGTTAACAAGATCTATCAGAACTTTCAAAGGCAGTACTTTCATTCTAGCAAACTACAATATGCATTTACTAATTCTGCATCAAGTTTCAAATTCTGATCAACCGGGGGTAAGAGAAATTATATAATAGAAAATGTAATAGTAGAAATAAAACCTATAATATTGTATTCTGGACCAAATTATTCTATGATCGAGAACACATATATAACATTCACACAGGAGCAACTTAGTGTTACTATTGATTGGGAGTGTATTTAAAATTACTCGCGCAGATTAGCTCTAATAGATAACTTATATATATTTATGAGAAACTGTTATATAAGGGAATAAATAAATAAAACGATCACTTATGTAATTAGCTTGTGCATGTGAATAACAGAAATTAATTATATTAGGATCAGGTCAGTCAGTGGAATCAGATTATAGTTACATAAGTGATGTAATTAATTTAATTTGATAGTTATGATGTATAAAGGTAATTAATAATATATCGATCGATAAACTGAAAAAGAAAATGTAATACAACTGTAAAGAATAACAGCGATATAAAAATAATAAGATAAATATGACAACAATAATAAGTAATCACGTTTGAATTTCCATTATAGTTGTACAATTTATTCATTATAATACAGTATTTTCTATAATAGATGCTAGAACGTTGAATTACTAATGCATGACATTTAGATTCTTGAATCACTTTAATTTTATATATTTATGCAATAAGCAAAGCATGCAATTGTATATAATATACCCTAATATATATGAATACAACTTATGTGTAAATTATTCTATCCTATTCATTTTTTTAGATATTACTATGAAACTAAGGTAAAATCATGTTTCTTTTGTATTTTTTGCTTTCACCTTCCTATTACTGATCCATCTGTATAATTTCACACCATTCTCAACAGGATTATCATCTAAATGAAGCCTTTTTGTTACTGCGACATTTGTAAACTCTTTTGGATTCCAAGCACATTCTCGTTTAAGAAACAATTCTTCTAGCGATCGTTTTATTGCTAAAGTGGCATTATTTTCTTTTTCGCTGCTTGATGTACGCTATATAAAATAAAATAAATAAATATATAGTTAGATAAAATAAAATTAAATTGTAAATAGTTAGATAAAATAAAATTATGGTAAAATTAAATTAATAGACTTACAGTTTGAGTAGAAGTTCTACGTTTATTTCGAACTCTTGTAGTGTTATGTCTTTGAACTGAATGTGGAATATCTATAAATTTAAAATATTTGTTAGCAATAATTAACAATGAGATTGACTTTAATGCTATTACCTTTATAATTTTGAGTATGCCTTGAAGATTCGGCCAGGCTGTTGTCATTATCATAAGTATCAACATCTTCAATATTGTAAAGACGTTCCTGATTAGGATTATTCATATGATTCTCAGGTAACATATCATGCCAATTGGAATTATTCATATAATTCTCAGGTAACATATCATGCAGATTGGGATTATTCATATAATTCTCAGGTAACATATCATACTGATTGGGATTATTTATATAATTTTCGGATAATATATCATGCTGATTAGAAAATCGATTAGACTTGTGATATTTGGCACCATGAATTTTTGGCGCTCCAATTGTTGTAGGAATTTGAGTATTATCAGTTGGACAAAAAGGATCTTTAATTGCTGTTTGACGTTCATTTGACAAAAAAATATCATCACCTCTAGCATTAAAAAGTCTTAAAATTTCTTGATAAGCCTGCTCAATAGTTCCATTGTAGATAAAATCATTTTTATATCCTAATGCAACTGCTCGCTCTTTGTTTTTGAAATGTTTTACTAATTTTTCCTTAACTTCTTGTCTTTGTAGTCATCCATATGACATTTCCATATATATTTGTGCTGCATGTATATGCTTGCAAACGTCCCGAAATAGTCCATTCCAAATATAATCATAGCACGTACACTCATTAGTGGATAAATTAACAAGATAATGAGTTGCTGATACATTAATATTATCCCGGTTTATTAATTTGATAATCATCGCATCAATTTTCTTCAAAATTTCTGTTGAGATACTAATATGATGATTGTTGTATGGTGAATAAAACCTTGTATTCTATTTTTCAACCATCATATAACTTGTTTGTTCAGGTACTGGTATGACCAAATCAAGTAGAGAATAAAGACGACCTTGATTTATACGACGTTTTTTATTGATTGGTTGTTTAAATGGCATTTGTTTGTGTTTAATTGTACGCATATTCCAATAAGTTGATAATCCTGCATCAAATAAAGTTTCGCCAATCTCATTTTGTACTAGCGATTTTTTAATGAATTTGATACCATAAAGACGTTCAACAAATGATACAACCGTCTGAGTTCCACTCCGTTGTGATTTTATAGTTTTGTTCATTCTTTCTGTTAAATTATTTGTAGTCATTGGCTTTACGCTAGGTAAATCATACACCTGTGGCTCTCGTCCTTCATCAATAAAACTTTGATGCCACTCATCACAGATCCAATTTATTTCTAAATCACGAACCAAAGAATCTTTGACATTATCATCAAGTGATAGAGAATGAATAAATTTCTTATATTCATTTTCCATTTTAGTTACTTCTTCATCAGACTTATATCGACCTATGATTTTGAAAACTAATGCAATAGGATATCATAAATCCCAATCCACTTTCTATTTTTGTAAATGTTCGCCTAAGGTCACCATTACATGAAATTAACATAGAATAGTACCACGAACAAGATTTTGCAACGCAAGTTTTGTTGGCCTATGTTTATCCATCATAGCCAATGGATTCCAATATGATGTATATTCACTTATACATTTAAACCCACATCCATTTGGTAAATCAACATACCAATATTGATGTGTATATTGAGGATCATTGCATGGAATATTAGCTTTTACTGATTGTACTGCTAATTGTGTTGTATAATGATTCTCTTTATTACTAAAACCAAACGCTAGTGGCAAACCATACCCAGCCTGGTCTTCAATAATTATAGCTAATGCCGGTGCACCCTCATTATTTAGATCATACTTACTATCTATTCCAAAACAAAAATGCCAACAATCATGACCTTGTTGGAGCCATAAATTATCACTTAAAGTTAATTGATAATAATATTCTAGGCTGTTTTTTGAGGCTAAAACATCTTGGTGTTGATAATAAAGAACTTTTCCTTGTGTTTTTAATTCTCCAGTAACTAGTTAATCTAAAATAGTCCATGGACTGGCATCTTCACGTAAGCGATGATCATCTCGTTCAATGAACCTTTTTAATTGTTGTTCAGTACATAGGCCTCTGTTTGTTTTATATACATGCTAGAGGTCGATTTCACTTATGTTATTGTATGGAGCTAATATTTTCATTGCAATTTCTGTTCCAGAGCTACGATGTTCACGACGTGCTATAATAGCTTTATCACGAGCTTGAAGACTTAAATTAATTCTATTTAATTTTGGTTCCGCAGCAGGTATTGCTAATGATCTATGTGTACCTTGAATGATTAATTGTACTGGAAAAGGCTCCTCAACATTAGAAAGCATCACTTTTGTGATAACCCGAACTGCACATTTATGCATATCAAAATCATTCTTAAGATTATTTTTTAAATGGAAATTTGTACATTCTGATTTACACTTTCCAAGTTCGCCACATGCTCTTTCACAATCGTTATTGCCATCACAAAAAAGAATCCATCGCCATATTGTTATATCAGCAGCAATATCTTGTCTTATTTCAGTTACTCGTTTTCGACCTTTGCTGGTAAGTTCAATTACATCATCTAATCGATTTGTCAATTTATTTTGTCCTTGACTAGTTTTCCATGTGAGATAATCGATGGCATCTTCAACACGTTTCAAAGTAATAAATCCAGCTTTGATATTTTCGTTAACATAAAGCTGGCTTTGTTTTTTGAGCTTACAACTTGTTAATAAAGGCAGAAAACTAATATATGTTTCAATCGCACGGCCAAATGGTAAATTGACACTTCCATCGGTGTTAATTCGATGCTGGGGAAGTGAATATGATGTATCCATTGTCTAAAAAAAAAAGTAAACCTTTTATATTAACTATGATAAAGTATTTCAATTAACTATCTATTATTATTAACTACATGTACTATTAAGTATAGACTCACTTAGACTTTACAATTTTGATATGTTTAGCTTTTTGCTTCGTTACAAAACACTGTACTGTCTACTATTTCGTGAAATAAGTTGTGCTAAGATGAAAAAAATTCAATAGAACCTCCTTTTTATTTGTTTATGTCCTGCACTGTCATTAATAAACACAGCAAACAATCTACATTTACTATTTTTGTACAATCATTATTTAATTATAATCCCGATACCAACTCTAGTACCAAGAATACAGAGGTATGCATGCAAATAAAACCTGATGACAACAGGATCATCTAACCAAGTATTACTTTTATATATTTATTATGCGATTGTTGCGAAATATGTATATTAATTTTAATAATGGCGTTGTTACGAAAAATTTTGTCAAATTTTTCGTACCTTGCATTTTCGCTATATAGTTTCTTTGTCTTCCTATGT